AAGCAGTGGTATCAACGCAGAGTACTGGGTCAAGCATTATATCATCCCATTCGATTTGAGATTGTTGATTTTTAGGTTTTTGACACCATTTTTGAACAACAGATAGAGGAACCTTATTACTTGAAACCTTAGAAGTACCATTTATAGTTTCTTCTGGTTGAGAGAATGATTGAAGTGCTATAAGTGGATTTTCTGGATCTGATAAGTTGTAGCCAGTAATTCTCCATTCTTGTCCTAAATCCCCATATAATATTGCACCGCGACAGAATTTAGGATCTATACCGTTTTGTTCAAGATAAGAATATAAAGCATTGTAATCAGTTATTGTTGGTTGAGCCATTTTAGAGCCAAATCTGCCAAAAGCTTCTTCAATAGATTCTTCTTTGTTGTATAATCTAATCATATCTTCAATTTCGTCAGGTTTTTTTACCATTTTAAAATCAGGATTAGATGGAAACACAAGCTGAAAACGAACAGGGCTTATGTCATTATGGGTTTCTGCAGCTTTAGCTATTTTCCACTCTGTACCGCTTTGGTCTTTTATTGCTTGATCTGCATATTTAGAGTCTATACCAAATTTGTCTAACCAATATGAAACCAAATCATGATCAGACATTTTGCTTCTTGCTTGGTCTGATGTTATATTTTGTGGTTCATATTGCCCTGGCTCCACATCACCTACTACAGAAGTTGTTTTGCCATTTAGACGTTGTGGAGACTGTTTAAATCTAATTTTTCCAACTGGCATTCCCCTTCTTGGATCTTTTGTTGCTAGTCCATATTTATCAGAAACACCCATAGGATTAGCATAAGTAGATTTTTCATAGTTACTTAGTTCATTCCAAAATTGTTTAAATGCTTTGTGTGTTTTCCAACTATGAACTTTTGATAGACCTAGTTCGTCTTTGTGTTCATTGTAAAATCTTTCCATCCAAGCATTATAAAGTTCATCACCATTGGCTATAATATCAACAATTGTATCAAGGTCATAGTAGTGTTTATTAAAATTATCTACAACCTTTGCATTTCTTTCATCTTCAAGTGCTGCTTTGAATTCATCTGGAGATATTGTTGTGATATTTGGAATAAATTTACCTTCTTCGTTTTTCCCACCATCAACTTTGCCATTTTTATAAGTAAGCATGTTTATAGTTTTATCTGGGTTTATTTCATACATTGCCATTATTGAATTATATGGCTCAAAATACAAAGCTTGACGGGGTTGAACAATTAGCCAATAAGGATTTATTTCATTATCAATCAAAAAATCAATGGCATCCCAATAACGCATTTTTTTAGGTTTTTGCGCTTTTGGTTCATCATCTTCAAACATGGTGTTATAAGCTTCTTGAAAATATTCGCTTAGTATGTCATGTATTTCATCTTTTTTGCTTTGCATTTTTTCTTCTACCTTTTTCTCCAATTCTCTTTTTGCAGCATGCACAGCTGTTTTATTAGAAAGACCATCACCGGCACGATTTATATAGAAATTGATACGTTTTAGGGCCAGTTCTTCATCTCCATTAGCATCTTTAAGTAAACCATCTACAATATCTTTAGTTGGTTGTGTAAAAAGACCTTCTGGGGTGTGATGACCAGATTTTGTTTCTAATTCGTCTTCTTTTATTTGTAATTCTTTTTCTTTTACTGACATGATAAAGGCCTTACTTCTGGTTCTGTTGGAATTGGTGTTTTTGGATAGAATCTTGAGGTATAAAACATTTCAAGGGACAGATCTTTACTTACAGCATCATTTATGGCATCTTTTAGTCTTTTTAGATATCCACCATTACGAAGTTTTTTGAATAGTAAATTACCTTCTCCAAATTCTCCTTCTGCTGCCAATGATGTTTTACGCAAGTTTCTAATCCAAGCCCAAACTTCTTTCATTTGATTTTTGTCTTTAGATTCTATTGCGATTTCTATTCTTTGTGTTACCTGTTCAAAATCTGTTTCTTTTATATCTGGAATTTCTTTATTTGCGTTTTGTGGTTCTATTATCCATTCATCTGTCTCTAAAGAATAAACACCAGTAGAAACAAGAGAAGTATTTATATCTTCAACTCCAACTTCTACAGGTATTTTATGAATTAGGAAATTATATTGTTGATTGAATATTTGTTTTTTTGCATTAAATAACTCTGTCAATATTTCTTCATCAATCCCTAACTCAGAAAAATCATACACAAGATGAAGATCAATATCACTCTTATAATTTCCGTCATCATCTCTCTCATCTGAATAATTATAGTTCGCAAAAGATCCGGTAACTCTAATATCTTTTGTTGTATATAGATTTAGACTTTCACGGAACAAGCGAGCAATTTCAAGTAGTTTATTTTTTACTTGTGGTTTTATTTTTTTATTTTCATCCCAAAGCAAATCACTAAGTTTATCATGCAATTTTTGTTCATCTAAATCTATCATCCCACCTTGATTTAGATACACCATTGGACCTATGCCTGTCATTAGTGGATTAGAACCATTAGTCATCACACCATACGGACCCTTGGGATAACTTAGTGGCATTGTTCCTTCTGTCACACTTGGAATTCCTATATTTGTTTTATCACCATTTATATAAGCTTGCAAGTCGTGCTTTACATCTTTTATTTCGCTTTCTATATCATATTGTTTATAGAAATTTGTTTTAGGATTATCTTTATCTGATCCTTCCATTGTTGCTTCAAAATCTAATTTATAAGGAGACATAGAAAGTAATTCATCTATTCTATCCCATTGATTTGAAGTTGGCATACCGTTTTTAAGAGATACTTGAACAAAAGGTACAGGTTGGTCTCCATATCCAAGCCTTATAACACCTTTATCTAACAAATCCACTAAATCAAAACCAAATTCTCTTACGTCTTTGTGTTGGAGATTTCTTTTTTCTTCATCTCCTCCTTGTTCTTTTCCAGATAAATCAATCAAAGTACCATCAGGGAGAATAAAACCAGCTTCTGACCATTCTTCTGTTGTGCCAAGATAATTTAAAAGTTCATCAAATTCTCCAGATTCCATAACATATCCACCCATAGGAATAGTTGCACCCCCGGTAGAATAAGAAGAAGCTGCATGATAATAGCGATCTCCATCGTGTCCCAAAGCAGTGGCTCCAGTATTTACATGAAGATCTTTTGGTAATTGTTTATAAGATAATGGAATTTTGGTTGTCATTATGCTTGTGGTTCTTCTATGTCGATGTATTCTGTTGGTTCTTCGTCATTTACTTGAACAAAGACTTTTTTACCCGGATTGCGTGCTTTAATTCTTTCTGCGGCAGCTTCAATTTCTGGTAACATAAAATCTTCCAATTCAACATCTGCACTAATTGGTTTGTTTATTAGTACTTCTTCAATATCATCTTTTCCAAATGTGTTCTTTACAATAAAACGAACAACATTATTTACATTATCATCTGACAAATCTACATCATAATCTGGTAAATCTAAAACACCAGATACTTCTACTAGTTTTTGAATAGCTTCTTTTATTGCCATTTCATGTTCCTTTTGTTTTTCGGTTGATTCATGTCTCCAAGATAACATTTGGTCTCTTTTTGGATGAGAATCAATATCTTTTTTTACACTGCCATAAGTAACAGGTTTGTAATTCTTTTCTGGACTTCCTAAATTACTCAAATGTGCTTGTTTATTTATTGGTTCTTGTTTTACCATATTTTGCAATACAGACTGATTACCAAATTTTTGATTATTTATTAGATTTTTTAGATCTTTTAAATTATTATATCTGGTTGGGTGCGATACCTTCCATTCTGGGTGAGCTATGTTTCCACTTTTTGTTAAGAATGGCTTGTCTTGTCCTGGTTCCATATTGTGTACGTTTTTATATACTTCGCCACGATTTGAATAATATTCTTTACCTTGTGCGTCTTGAACATATACTTGTTCATGTGCAGCAGGTCCATATATTTGAGCTTCTACTGTGTTTTCTGGTTCCCCATATACAGTATTCAACGCTTGCAATGCAGAAATCCAAACTTGACGATCATCTATACCATTACCTTTCTCGATAACATGATTTATATATATTGGATAAGGTTTTGGAATTATTCTTCTACCTTGTTCGTCTTTACAATAAACGAGGGTGTCGAATTTTTCACTTGTTGGGTCTTCTAATGTTTGTTGAAAAGCTCGATTATCACTCCAGGATTTTCCAACACTTTTTGTATAACCTTTTTCAATTTGATTACGTGAATATATTTTTGGAGACGGATCTTTTTTCTTGGTTTTTACTGCCACTCCTGTTACTGTTTCACCCGTTTCTTCTTCAACTTGATCAACGGCTCTTTGTAGCCATTTAAATAATTCAACACTTTCAAAATTATATTGATTATATGAATATTTTATTGGTGCACTATCAGTAAAATCAGCTAAAATATTGCCGTTTTCACCATAAACAACCAAATATATTTTACCATTGTTTATATCATTATAGTTTCCAATATAATCTGCCTCATCTAATTCAATAGCTTCTTTATCTGCGTGTTTGGATTTATTATCCCCACCAATTCTATCCTGGGCTCTAACATTTTTAAATAATTGTGGCATATCGTTTATCAACTTTATATAATATTTATCTAAGATTGAATTATGTCTCCATTTACTAAAAGCAGTAGAAAACATCAAATATGAATCAAGAGAAGATTTTGCATTATTTAGAATCCAATCAAAAACTGGCTTCTCAAAAACCTTACGTGCAATATAATCTTTTCCAAGAGTGCCATATTTGTTTATCATAGCTTTTTTATCTGGAAAACGACCTGTTAGGATTTTAAAGTCCCCTGTTTTTCGATCAATAAAAATACCCTTATAAGATTCATCAGACTCATCATTTCCACTTTCGGTCAAAACAACAGCCTCGGTAACCTCTGTATAATAAGGGATTTTAAATTTTTTTAATTGATCAATAATTTCTTCTTCGGTGTGTTCATTTGTGGAATATAAACCAAGCATGCCCTTTTCTCCAAATCCATAGGGCATCCAAGTAGCATAATCACCTAAATGTTGTTCAAGAAGATTAATATTTGACTTATCTACAAAAATCACGTGAAACACCTTCTATTATCCTTATATAGAACTGAATTAGAAGGTATCAAAAAACATAATTTCACTAGACTATTGATGTTCTTTAATGAATGGAATTGGAACTTGAAAAACAGATAAAATAAATGCTTTCAAATCAATAGGGAGACGTTCATTGAAAATTTCTTCTATTGTCAAAAGCTTTTCATAATCATTTTCTTCTATTACATCTTTCAAATCTTCAACAGTTATAGAAGAAAGAGAAAAATTACGCATTAAAGCTACAGTAATAAACTCAATTTTTGTTCTAGGTTTACTCATTACATATGCGAAAAAAGAATTCCAAACACTAGATTCTTCAGTTGATTTGGTTTTTATTTTTACTTTGAAATTGACCTTTATATTAGGAATTGGTCGACCGTCTATAAATGGATTCAACATATTTATCATCTCCTAGATTAGGTTTACTGTAGTTATTATCATCCATGTTGCCATCATTTTCTATATAAAAATTAGCAACCGTTTTTGGATTCATTTCTTGTGCAAATATTGATAAGAAATCGGGATCTTTGTCTTTTACCAACATAGCTTTTTCATTATCAAAATCTATCACAACTTTTGAACCTTCATTTAGATATTCAAGTATTTTATTTATTCTATCTATATCAAAATACTTAAATAAAATTGATTGGAAGGTAAAATAATCTAAACTTTGTCTTTCGCTCTCAACTCCTGCTTTTACAAGATTTATTAGAGTTCCGGTTTTAGTTACAGAATAAATACCTTCTATATCTAACATTATTCTTCTGTTGTTTCTTTTGGTGTATTTTTAGGTTTTATAAGACTTTCATGTAGGCTTGCTTTTCCATTTTTGCTTTCTGATTTGATTACCTTATAAAAATCATTCAAGTCTTCAGCCAATTCCACATTTTCATTTAAGAACTGTTTTGAACTGCGCATTATATCAACTTTTGTACATTCTTCCATGGATCCTGCATCTGGTATTTGTTCTACAGCACTTGGATCTTGTTCTTTTTGACCCAACATGAATTTCTTTAAGTCTGATGCGTTTTGTAATACTGAAATAGAAGATTTACTACACATCAATCTTGCAGCATTTACAGGTATTCCCATCTCAACCAACAACTGATAACGATTAATATTTGTCATTTTTGGATTGATTACTTCTTGAACATTGCCAATTAATTGTATTATGTCGTTATATTTTGCAATCAAGTCATTAGAAATTTGTATTGGTTTGTTTAGAGTTACTTCAACACTAATCTTAGTAACATCAAAACCAGCATGGGTAAGAATCTTTTCGACCAATCCCAATGTACCATCAACTAAAGCTCTTTTCAAAGGAACCAAAGCACGACTCAATTTTAAATCTTGCGACTCTAACGTTTGGGCTGTAGTAATTGTATCATCCCCCACTAAATATCCCTTTGGCAACTTTGAATTACGTAAAATTTTGTCAAGGAAATATTCCACGTCTTCTGTTGACGATAAATCTATATTTGAATCTATCTTATCAATTGTAAAATCTTTAATTGCTGGTTTTACAAATATACTAGTGGCTCCAGGAATCTTGCGACCAGCTTTAGTACCAGGAGCATCAGTGAACAAAGAACTCAAATAATTAGCTTTAAATTCATTTAAATATTGGTAAGCATCCATCTGAGAGGCACCAACCGGAATAGGAATACTAATGACTAATCTTTGAACTTTACTTGCACGAGACACAGCCAATAAAGCTTCCAATGTAGTCAACTGATCAAATGAAGAACGCATAGACCATAACATTGATTGCCCATACGGTTCTGTTGTTTCTGAATATATGAGGAAATGTTGAAATTGCCATGGCTGCCAAGTTAGATTTTGTACAGACACTAAATTATTTGTATATGAATAAGTATTATCAATTTGAGTCTGATAGTTTATAACATTATACCAATTATCACATGTTACTTTGAAGAATTTTGGGTTTACCGGAGTTATAACCAAGTCTTTTACAACATCAATTTTGTGTTCTTCAATGTCAGCATCCACTTCGTCATATTGTGTCATCAAATAAGGATAAGAAAGAGTAAACCCCATATTTCCATATTTGGCAATGTTTCTTACAAGCATTGGTAAACGAGCAAAAAACTTATTCTTATATAATACAGCATCTACAATTTTTTGCGCATCTGGATTGCTTATTTTAATTTTCAATGGATCATCAACAAAACCAGTAGATAAAACTTCTTCCACATAAGTTGACAAAATGAGATCCACTTCACCAAGATTTTCTTCCATAAGATCAAAAGTTTTATATGCGGTCAATAGTGTATGATAATTCTTATTGAAATTTGTGTATGTGTCTAAGAAATTATCAAACTGAGAAATGTACTTATCATCTAAATCTTCTTGACGATAGTTTAAAGGAATAGAAATATATTCTCCAGTTTTAACCTGGCCTATTCTATAACCTTGCTTTTTTGCCAGGCTTTTTAATAATTCTGCACTTATACCAGGATTTGTAACAAAAAGAGTGTTAGTTTCCTTATCATAAGAGGAGTGCTCAACAATTCTTTTTGCTAATGATTTTACATATTCTCTATTGTTGTTTTTTGATGGCATTTTCTATTCCTATATTATTCAGACCAACCAAGGGTAATATTTATATCGAAGTAGTTATTCATATGTTTATCTACTGCGTGAATCATTCCTGAGGTTTCACTTAATACAACAAAACAAGCCGAATAATTATCATCCATGACTTGTTCTATTGTTTTTATAATTGTAACACCAGGAGTAGAAGAAAATTCAAAATCAGAATATTTATTATAGACCAATCTAGTTGAAACAAAACTTAAAACCGGGAGTTTTTGATATTCTCCAGGATCCACCTCTACATTTATAGTACTCTGCGTTGATACCACTGCTTCTATACTATTGACAATAAGCATATCACCGCGAGCAAAAGGTTTATTAGAGATTATGCGGATAAGTTTACCTCTGAACCAATAGCAATAAGAATGTTTGTTATCTACCACTGATTTTGTTGAGACATAGTAACTTATACATTTGAAAGGAGTAACGATTTCACCTAGATTAGTCATTTTATTTTTCTTTAGTTTTAGTCTTGTAATACTTGTTTAACTCTAACTGATCCGTCTTTTTCTTTTTTTGCACGAACCTTTTTAGATTTATTTACTTTTTCAACAACTTCTTGTACAGTATCTTCAACTTTTACTTCGATTTTTTCTTCTTCAAGTACTTTTGCTGTTGATTCTGCCATTACAACCTTAGCCTGCACTGGTTTTTTAGGTTGAGAATGTTGTCCATAATGTAAAAAAGTCTACCATTGTTTTTCCTTTTGTTATTTAGTTTTTATAAGAGTTGTATTTTTACAGCTTGTGGGTTTAGTTGGAATGTTTCACTTGCCTCTACTGTTTCTGCCTCTGATAATGGTAAAATTGCAATAGTAGAATCAGTGTCATCGGAAACATATTCACCAGTATCTGTATCTAAATGTGAAGTATAAAATGCAATATGAGTAATTTTGGATGTTCCAGGAGTCCAAGATATTGATGCTTTAGGAAATGTTATAGATGAAGTGTTTTTTGCTACACCATCTACTACAACAAATTCAACAGGGGCACGATTATAATTACCAGTTCCGATAATAAGCTCATTTGGTTCTGGCCCACCTTGGTCTATAAGCAAACCAGCATAAACAGGAGTTGGGGCTGGAACTTCTTCTGGAATAGCATTCAAAAAGTATTTCAACATATTTGTTTTAGTATTATTAGTTAATCCTGGTGTCATTTTCTACCCTTTAGTGTAATATTGATGGCAACCGAACCTTCCAAGTAAATTCATTGGTTGATTCTGCGCTTGTTTGATCTTTTGTTTTAGTATTAGCAACAGGTATAACATTTAAATAATTTACTGATGATGCTGTTATATCTTGTAAAATCACATAATCACTTACAGGTTCAAAATCAGTTATAACCACGGTGTTTTCAACTCTTGCTGTTTTGTATATACTTGCACGAGCTGGAGCACAATAAGCAATTCTAGTATATGTTTTACTGTTACTAAGCTGTTTGGATTCTGTAGATAAAACTCTCCATTCTCTTGCGATTTTATCTTCGTGAGAATTATATTCATCCAAAATTATTCTTGAGTTCCTAGGTAAATGTAAAGCAGATGGAATGAGTATTTCTAATGGATATTCATCTTCTGCAGTTTGACCAAGTTGAGACAAAATACTACGATATTCTGTAAATTTTGGCACCACAACTGTTTTTTGTATATCCCATTCATCATCTACATAATTTATATACTCATCTAAATTGTTTTCTTTTTTGGGTATTTTAACTTCTGCAGGAATACCGTATAAATTGAAAAAAGATGAGTCTCTAAGGGATGCTAAATAATCAACTTGCTTCCCTTCGATAACATTTCTGTAGTTAAATACTTTTTCTAGTTTTCTCATGTTATTATAGAACTCAACGAAAAACCTTCAAAAGGACCAGACGAGATTAAACAAGTCTAGTCCTTTTAGTACACTACATTACACCAGGAGCCATCATACCTGTAATGTTGATACCAGATTTTTCTTCTGGGTCTTGTGTAATCACCACATTTGTTGTCAACACCAAACCAGCAATACTCGTAGCCGCCTGTAACGAGCTTCTAACAACCTTAGTGGCATCAATAATACCAGCCTCCACCAAATTTACTCGTTCCATTTTTGACACATCATAACCGTCTGTAATTTCTGCATCTTTCAATTCTTTTAGATAGATTGCAGGGTTTTCATCAGCATTTTCTAAGATGGTTGAGAATGTTGCACGCATAGCTTTTTGAAGGATTTTAGCACCAATCAGTTCATCATCGTTCAACTCTTTTGCGTATTTGTCCATTTCCATATGATCAGCTAAATATGCTAACGTACGACCACC